GCCACTTCCAGCTTTTTTCTTTTTGCTTATGTGGTGCTGAGGAATTGTACCCAGGGCCTCATGCATGCAAGGCAAGCTTTCTACCACTGAGCCACCTTCCCAGTCTCAGTTGTGAAGATTTTTATAGTTCAATTTTGTCATTTCTCCCCAGGCTAACTTATCATTTAGGATCACAGTGGAATCAGCAAACACTCTGACTCAACTCAGTGATTCCTAGTAGTTTCTATTGTTGCAAATATGCTTCCTCTCTGAGGAAAAATACTTCTTCCAGTAATGGCATGAATATTATAAGATGTCTGATTGGAAAACAAACCTGTGGGAAATGTAAGCTTTCAGTAAGCACCTGGATATCCACTGATCCACTAGGCATCAATCAGGACCTGAACAAAGCAATTTATAGGAAAATCCCTTTGGGATTTATTGGGAAATATCAAATTAATTGCTTAAGCGCATTAACTTGAGTCAATCCTCTAGGCTTAGACATCTTTCTCAGCTGATTACTTTATATTGTTTTTCTTCCATTTCAACATCAGTTAGCTGTCAAAGGTTCTCCTTTTGACATGTCCATACATAAATAAAATGCATTTTTCCTTTTGGTGCCAGTACCAGGGTTTGAACTCAGAACCCCAGACTCTTGCTTGGCTTTCTTGGTCATGACTGGTTTTTGCTGACTATTTGGGAGAGGGATTCTGTCACACTTCTCTGCCCTGGCTGGCTCAAATCCCTGATCTTCCAGGTCTCACTCTCCTAAGTAACTAATGTTCATCTATGAGCCAACAAGTCCCAGCTGCACAATACATCTAGGTGAGACAATATATCTAGACTCATCCGTTACTCTCCCTCATCATTTCCTTCCCTTTTCCTAAACGAGTTTCAACATGCTTCATTTTGGAACTGCAGAAAATGAACCAGACCCTTATCTATTTCCCTGAAGTTATATCAATTGAAAGTTGATCAAGGATTTTAATATAAAACTGGAACCTAATAGGGAAAATGCTAGAATGTGTGGTCATAGGCAGTAACTTCCTGAATGGCACTCTCCCATTCTTTAGGTAGCACTGTTGGGTCCAAGTATTCGCCTTACTATTTATTCAATTTGGGTCTGTTGAACAACAACAAAAAAAGACAAGTGTTTTCTTAGGAAGAAAAGATCTTGGCTTCACCTGTATCCATGGTGAGCTCAGCATCTCAGCATTCTCATTCAATTTCTCCATCAAGTTCAGGAAGTTCTGGTCTTTATAATCAAACCGATTCTGGAAAACAATGGAGCAGATGACATTGCAGGGAGCACAGCCCAGGATGAAGGTGGGGTCACACGGTGAGCCTGAAGAGTTAGAAACAAATGAAATATACATATGAAATACTGTACTCAGCCTTTGTCATCTTTACCAATTTTTATTACTGTTTTACTTGTAAATTCCTCTCAGAGCCAAATATCCCATTTGAATTAAACCTGCATATCTTTAACCTGGAACCTGAGTTGGCCAGTACAAACCAACTAGCAAAATAATGTCAGTTCATACTAATTGCCTTTACCTATAGTCTTTCAATCAGATATATGCTATTTTGGAAAAAGAAGACTTTTACATACCTAATAGTCAACCATTCAGAGTAGCAATATATCTGTTTCCATAACCTATAGACTACACAAAACTGAGAAAGACTGTGATGGAATATCAGGTGTCTATAGCTTTTTTGAATCACCAATGGAGAGACACTAAAGAGAGATTTTACCAGAGTTCAAGTACTAGAATGAACTAAAAAGCAGAATGCTTTCATGTTGCATGAGGAAAAAGAGTAATAACTAAGTTTAAGCCTGTTATTAAATGTAAATGTCAGGTAAGGCAAACAAAAACATAGCATTAATAAATGGGAGATTTTTTTTCATTTCAAAATTAATAAGTAAATTTCTTTTCCCTAATGAATAAGTAGACACTAAGTCTAATCAAACACAAAATTTAATTTATGGACAGGGTGGAATTTTTGAAATTCTGCAATAAACATTATATACATATATATTTAAATTTGTCTGCCTCTCAGGTTCTATTATTTGACAGATTAATTTTATTTTTGGTACTCTGTACAATGAAATGGCTATGAGCAAATCATCAACATGTAAAATGCTACTGAGTTTAAACTGAAAGTAAATAGTCATGAATTAAAGATATTGTGAATTGACGTGGGTTTTTTGGATTAAACAAGTGTCATTGAGCTGGTTGCATATATGTAGGCTAGTTAATGATTGAAATGAGTCTGAGCTCTCAGAAAAACTTTTATTAGAACTATGAAGAGGGCAGTTATTTGGGAATTCGTTGAGATTTGCTATGACTGCAGGTGTGACATTCACAGGTTAAATCTGATTTTGTCGTTCAATTTATTTGGAACAATGAATTTAAAAAGCCAGGTTATGTGGAATCCGAGTGGACAATTCTATCCATTGTAACTATAGGTTAGTAGATTTAGGTAAGTGTGTAATTAACAGAAGATTTTTAACATAAAATCCAATACACATGGAGAAAAATTGAAAATGAGCTAGAATACACTAAAAGAAGATTGGATAAAGAACTGATCATGATAGTTGAAATATAGCTAATTGTGTTTATTTTACAGATAGAGCACATATTTATTCAAAATACATAAATAAAATTCTAAAATCCTGGGTAAGAAGAAATAAGTAATGTTGACCTATAGAAATTGTACTGTATTTTCAGAGAAATAATTTTTGAAATGAATTTCATTGAGACAATAAAGCAAATAAAATCTTACACCATACCACTACTATCTAAAATTGTAGGCATGGATTCTTACAAATCTCTGAACTGTCAATGATAATAAGCATACCATATAGTTGCATCTTTGTGGGTAGACAGGATCATTACCACACTGTTCAATTAGCGAGCACGATCATGCAATGCCTACATTACATAACCTCAATTATGGTAAGAGGGAAGCATTGTTCCTTAACTCTTCAGAAAAGAAACAGAAAATATCTATTTTGCCAGACACTGGTGTGTTAGGTCCGCATGGAAAGCCAGAGGCTAGAGGCTCATTCCTTTGGTTCTCTCCTCTTGAATCCTAAAGTCCCTGGCCAGCACGTGAAATCCAAGCAACTGGCATGCCTGGGTGCAGCTCAAGGTCCCTCTGAGATTATCTCTGCTTCCACTGTGCACACACCCCCTCCCCGCCTTTCCCTATATAATTTTTCCCCTCCCTTATAATCTCTCTTGCTCCGCCCAATTCCATTTTGTGAGGCTAAAGTTTGCTCTCTCCCTCTCTCAGTAAACACTCATCCCTTCATCCACGCCAGAGTTCCCTTTTGGCAACCTTTGCATGATGATTTTATGTTCTTGACAAGAACCCAGATACTCAGGAGGCTGAAATCTGGGGATTGTGGTCGGGAACAAGCCCAGGCAAACAGATCGCTGCAAATCTCTGATCAGCTAGAAGCTTGAACTGGAGGTATAGCTGAAATGGTAGAGCACCAGCCATGATCTGGGCAAGAGTTTAAAGCCCAGAGTTCGAACCCCAATTATGGCATAAAACAAGAAACTTACATTCATGATTTCTGATTGGAAGACAAAATAACCCATTTCTGAAACAGAAGGGACTTAATGGCGCCTTTTATATTCCTCTCTAAAATAGTGATATAAAGCAGCTCCCACCCTTGGTTTTCCTCAACTCCTCCACGAGGCAGCGGGCTTCCTCTTGAACACGCTCTTCAATGCTCCTCTTCCCCATCCCAAAATTCCGCAAGGTCATGAGTGAGAAGCGCCTCATCTCTCGCCATCTGTGTCCGTTGCTGAAAATAATTCCTAAATTAAGGGAAGCAGAAACATGGATAGAGAAGTCAAGCAAGGAAAAGGAAGCTGACAGATGGCAGGTACAGGGATGGCCAAGCTTTGGCTCTTTTTCCATCCTCCTTATCAACACATCCTCTGCCCACACACAAATATACACACACATGGATATGTACACTTACCAAGACCTCTGTTAGCTTTTTCAGCCCATGGGAGCCTGCCTCTTCCAGAGAACTCCTCCCCTTGGTCAATCAGAGCTTCCTTC